CTTGGAAAAGTCTTGATTTTCCAGACCTGGAAAGAGTCTTGAAATTGAAGATAATGTCTAGAAAAATAGTTCAAGTCTGGAGTTTTTTTTATAGCTACAAAAAGTGCTTAATAAGTTCATTTTTTTCCCCTGTGGTCAATTCAATCTCGCCTGTAGCTAAGACATTCAATCACAGAATGAGAAGTTTCACAATTGCACCATGGTTATTGTACATTTGCAGTGCATCATGAAAGAAGCTTGGTTTCTGCATTTTTCAAGATCTCTATTGATCACCTATTTGACCATCTTCAGTCTGGAAAAATAAATTGATGTTTTGGAAAAAAGGTCTGAGAAAAGTCTTGAATTTTGGATCCAAAAATCTGCATGAACTCTGAAGAAGATAATCGGAAGCATGATAAATGTGTAGTTCTATCTGAAATTATAATATTATAAATTATTTGATAGTGTGCCTGTTTTTGTCAGGGTTGCAAATGCCATGATGTTGCTCCAGATGAGACATGCCTGGATTGCCTCAGAAGCAAATGCAACATGGGAAGGTGTGTAGGCATTTGATCATTGTCATATTAAATTACATTCAAACACATAAAGGGGATTTTCTTACTGTTACATAACAAAATGAATTTTGTAAGCCACGGGGAAATGACTTGTACTAAAGCATGAACTGAAATTAAGTGTGTAGTGTGGGGTTTTTTTTTTAAATTGTTGCTAGTAAACTAAAATCCTCATTCAGGATCTTTTGCCAAACTTGGAAGGTTGCCAAAAATTGTTTTCATACTGTCAGGAAAGGAGTACTCATAGTTTGGTAATTGAAAAAGAAAAAGAAAAACATTTTTAGAGAAAAACATGAAATAATTCATTGCTTCAGAAAATCAATCATTCTTTGAAATTGTCTTGTAGATCAACTGGTATACGAGATGATCTGGTTTTTGTGTCTGCTGCATTTATAATGCATGCAGACACATAGATAAGCTGTAAAACGCGCGACCAGCTACTTCATATACGACAAGATCTCGGATTTACTCTTGACGTTTCAGTGCGGATTCCATTTGGTGACATGATACACGAAGTATGCACAGAGGGGTAATACTTTCGGCCTGTAATACTTTCGGCCTGTAATACTTTCGGCCTGTAATACTTTCGGGTGCAAACTTCGTTCCTCAGGGGAATAATCTATCCAATCGGATACGAGGAAAGGACAAAGGAAAGAGGTCGTGGCAAACTACCGATTTCCGGGAAGACTCGGAACCAATCAAATCTGAGAAAAGGACAACGTCAAATCCGTCAAACCATGTGCTTTCCAAAAACGTTTGGGTTGCATCGTATCGTCCTGATTTCGTTCGTCAAGCCAGGTTGTATTATTGCTTGCAAGGTGAGTGATCTTTTCGCTTTTCATATTTGTAATGGATTTCTTAAAAGGTGTTTTCTCATTTTGCCACAGCATTCGCACTGGGTGTCATTCCGGCCGAGTGAAAGGTTTTGAAAGATGCTTTGAATTTGTAAATCGACTGAAGCTTTCTCAGCGCCAACACGATCACCGCCCGGCCATTTTGCAAGTGCTCAGGACGCAAAATAAGCTTTATGAGCCCCATTTGGGGAATGCAAAGTCCCTTCGGGGAACAATTGAGCCCCATTTGGGGAATGCAAAGTCCCTTCGGGGAACAATTGAGCCCCATTTGGGGAATGAAAAGCCCGTTAAGGGAATTATTAAGCCTCACTTGGGGATTACAAAGCCCAATGTGGGATATGATATGCCCTGTTTACGAAATGGATTTGGCAGAAGATACATGTATTTCACTACACACGTGAAAACATCTATCACTAGACAAACATGTGCGAAAGCTGTGGCGATTTTATACAGAGGAGAGAAACCTAGAACTAGTATTCTTCATGATAATTACTATCTAAGCATCGTTATGAACAGATCTTTGCATACAGTTGTAAGGTTTGATGTGGGAGTTTCCATCGTTGGCATAGCGCCATCATTCAGAGAATTCCATGAACACTCCCCGCTGAAACATTCCAAGTCAGTCAAAGAAGTGAAACGGCGTAGAGACCGAGAACCGTCTAGGATTCCGGTAAAAAAGATAATAAATACTATGAAAAAGAGAAAAGTCAGATGCAAGCTTAAGTTCATTCTTAAGAAGTACACCCCTAAATCTTCACGATTATACAGCTTTGCGACTGACTTTAAATTATGGTATGTAAGGTATTTACACAGATTCAACTGTTTTTTTACTCATTTTGCCGCTTTTAATAGACTGACAACAAAGAAGCTGTCACAAAAAAGAAAGCAAACTAGTTGCTGTTGTTGACATAAAATTCAAAACTTAACTTGCATCACCAAAAGATATTCCATATCAAGAATAAACCTTTTGAGGTCGGGTGATGTTGAATTAAATCCAGGCCCAGATCAAAATGTGGACAACCAGTCAGTAGACTCCACAACATTGCTTAACTTTCGATTAGGACAGTTAGGATTGAGAGCTCTTGATGTGGGTGGTGCAGGTGACTGCTTTTTCAGGGCAGTATCACATCAATTGTATGGTAATCCCAATAGTCACTTTCGCATCAGACAAGCTGCTGTTCACTATCTTAGGCATAACCCTGAACGTTTCATTGAAAGTAATACTCAGAATTCATGGAATGGTTACTTAACAATTATGTCAATGCAAGGTACGTGGTGTGATGCACTAACTGTACAAGCAGTTGCAGAATCACTAAATATACAAATTTATATTATAGAATCAAATGTAAATTTTGGACAGGTAACTTTGATACAGCCACATCATCCATCACAGCAGCAACCAAGAACAATATATATAGGTCATGTTGATGAAATACATTATGTATCAACAGTACCAAATAGCTCTTGCTCAGGAAATGAGCACTGTAACAATAAGTATTATAATATCAATAATTTCACCAAACAAAATGTTCTTTCTGAACAAGTACAAAATAGTAGTCGAAAAAGAAAATACAATTCTGATCTGAAGAATATTAGGATAAGCACTGAGAGCAGTGAAAACAATGAAAAGCAAAGTTCAGCGACTAAACAAAATAAAACGAATGAGCAGAAAAAGAAATGGAATTCTTACATGAGCAATTACAGGCATACCAGAAGGGCTAATAAAAAAAATCAAGGTAATCAAAGAAACAATGAAACGCACAATTCAGTGACTAAACAGAATAAAACTGATGAGCAGAAAAAGAAATGGAATTCTTACATGAGCAATTACAGGCATACCAGAAGGGCTAATAAAAAAAATCAAGGTAATCAAAGAAACAATGAAACGCACAATTCAGTGACTAAACAGAATAAAACTGATGAGCAGAAAAAGAAATGGAATTCTTACATGAACAATTACAGGCATACCAGAAGGGCTAGTAAAAAATATCAAGGGAATCAAAGAAACAATCAAATACACAGTTCAGTGACTAAACAGAATACAACTGATGAGCAGAAAAATAAATGGAATGCTTACATGAAAAATTACAAGCGTACCAGAAGGGCTAGTAAACAGAATCAAAGGTATGAATGTGACAATGTAAGGCAAAGTTCAACCACTAAACAGAATGAAAAAACTCAATGTCAAAAAGCAAAAAGGCAAAAAGTACGAAGCATTGCTGCCTTAATTTCAAGGTTTCATAACATTGTTTCCCAGGGCCCATTATATATCTGTAGTTGTTGTGATCAGCTGTGGTATAAACACAGTGTTTTTCCAGCTGCTAAAATAAGAAATTCTAACCCTGCTGCTGAAAAATATCTTTTAAACTCGAAAAGTGTTAACAATAAAGAGTGGCTGTGTAGAACATGTCATAATTACTTGGCAAAGGATAAAATTCCACCTGTGGCTGTCTTCAATGGAATGAAATTCCCCAAAAAACCAGAGTTTTTTGACCTCAATGAATTGGAATGTAGGCTTATAGCTCCAAGACTTGCTTTTCAAAAATTAATGCAAGCTCCAAGAGGAAGGCAGCTTAAAATACATGGAAATGTTGTAAATGTGCCAGCAGAAGTGTCTGATACTGTCAATATGTTACCAAGGTTACCTAATGATACTGGCACAGTTAAAGTTAATTTAAAGAGAAAATTGCAATACAAAAGTTCAGCATTGTCTCTCAATATTAGACCACATAAAGTTGTTCAAGCAGCCAATTGGCTAATCAACAACAGCAGCCTCTACAGACAGGAAGGAATAACACTAAATGAAGGTTGGGGAGTGCAGTATACTGCAAACTGTTTATTAGATGATACTAATACTGAAAATCAAAATGAACAATTACAAGAAATAGAAAAGAGCAGTGGTTCCAATAAGCAAGATAGAAATGACAGTAATGATAGTGATGATCAGTGGACTGAAGATGAAGCAGAAACACCTGCTGGTGTTACTGACACCATGTTGACCAACACCTATTATTTTGAAGACAGTCAGCCTCAACGTATTTTAAATGTTGCACCAGGAGAGGGAAACAAACCCTTCAGTATATTCAGAGATCAATATTCTGAAGAGTTAGCATATCCTGGTATATTCCTTGGTCAAAGTCGACCAGAAAATAAAGATAGACTAGCTAATGTTCATTATAGCGACATTTGTAAATCTGAACTAAGACGATCAGATAGGAGAGCTGCTATGTGTGTTGAAAATATATTCTTCAAAACAAAAAAGCTTCAAATGAAAATTCTCTTAGGAAAATCACAAGTTGCACTTAGGAAGTGCAAAGGAAATAGCAAATCTTTAAATGCTGGACAGTTGAAATGTGAAGGAGCAATTGAGCGCTTGATTCATCTTGACGAAGGATTCCAATTTTTGAAAGCATTGAGAGGTAGCCCACCATATTTTGAAAAAGCTAAGAAAGACTTGTTTGCAATGATAAGACAATTAGGACCAGCTTCTATATTTTGTAGCTTTTCTTCAGCAGAAACACAGTGGATACATTTCCTACGAATACTTGGTCAGGTAGTAGATCACAAAGACTACACTACCACTGAGCTTGAAAATATGACCTGGGATGAGAAATGCAGGTTAATTCAAAGTGACCCAGTAACATGTGCCAGACATTTTGATTATCAAATAAGTCAATTTCTCACAAACTTTCTTTTCGATAAAGCTAAACCATTAGGGAAAATTTCTGACTGGTTCTACAGAGTAGAATACCAGCAGCGGGGTTCACCCCACATACACATGCTTATATGGCTTGAAAGTGCACCAGTGTTTGGAGTTGATGATGATGCTGTTGTTACAGATTTCATTGATAAGATAATTAGTTGTCAGTGGCCAATTGCTAATACAGAATTATATCAACTTGTGAAGAGACAAATTCACAGACATTGTAACACTTGTAGGAAGAAATCAAAGAATGAATGTCGATTTAAATACCCACAACCTCCTATGAGAGCAACTGAAATTCTTTATCCTCTAGAAGGAGACATACCACAAAGTAAAGTAAAACAGTACAAAGACACTTGGAAAACAATCAACAAGCAATTAAATGATATGAAAGAAGGTGAACCTATATCCTTTGAGCAACTGCTTGTCAAGTTAAAGGTTACTGAAAATGAATATCGATTAGCTGTTAGGTCATCTTTAAATGCACCAACTGTCTTTTTAAAAAGAAAACCCAATGAGTTAAGAATAAACAACTATAATCCTGCCTGCCTCGAGGCTTGGAGAGCAAATATGGATATCCAGTTTGTCCTTGATGTGTATGCATGTGCCATGTATATAGTTTCATATATTTCTAAAGCACAAAAAGGAATGAGTGAACTGTTACGACAAGCTTGTGATGAAGCCAGAAAAGGAAATTCTAGCATAAAGCAACAAGTCAGAGACATTGGAAACAAATTTTTAAACAGCGTCGAGATAAGTGCACAAGAAGCTGTTTACATTGTTTTACAGCTTCCTATGAAGAAGTCTTCTCGTCAAGTAATATTCATAAATACCACTCCTCCTAATGAAAGAGTGCAGCTTTTAAAGCCAATAAACGATATTCAAGAAATGGAGGATGATTGTGAAGATGTATACACCAATGGTCTTCTGCAACGATATGCAAAGCGCCCTTTGAGTCTTGAGCACTTAACTTTGGCAGATTGGGCTGCATGGTATGACTCTGGAGGAAAACCATATATAAAAAAATCAGTTATAAAGGATGCTGATAACCTTCCATTAGAAACAGCTGATAGTGATGAAAATGATGATGACCTTTTTGATAGCAATGCTATCAATAGCAAAAAAAGATCAAAAGCAAGAATTATTAGAAGTGTTTGGTATAACCGTGAAAAAAATCCAGAAAAACACTATCGCGAACTAATAATGCTCTTTACATCGTGGAGAAATGAAGACACTGATCTGTTGGCTGATTTTTCTTTCTACCAAGAACATTTCTTAAATGTTAAAGATTCTATAGATGAGCAAATGAAATTATATGCTGTTTGCAGTGAAAACTTGGATAAAATCCAGGAAAACTTGAATGGGATTGATGCTGATAATGATAACTTTGACTCAATAGCACCATATACACAAAATATAGAATACCAGGATGAGGCTGAGGGTATTCAGGATTTGCATCCTGATCTCAATGAAAGCTATGATTTATCAGAAGATGTTGGAATTCCTTCAGCAGTTGAAAGTACTGAACCACTGATACTAAATGAATTACAAGACCAAGAGTACAGACAATTGGTTCAAACACTTAACCAAAAGCAAAAAGAATTTTTTTATCATATCTTACATCTTGTTAAAACAACAGACAAACCATTCTACTATTTCCTCTCTGGAGGTGCTGGAGTGGGTAAATCCCATCTTATAAAATCTTTGTATCAAGCAGCACTGAAATATTACAACTCCAGAGCTGGTGAGGACTTTAATGAGGTTAAAATACTGTTACTAGCACCTACTGGAAAAGCTGCTTTTGGTATAAAAGGTAATACAATACACAGTACCTTGGCAATACCAGCAAGCCAATCTCTAAAGATTTACAAACCTCTCGACTCAAGTAGACTTAACACTCTTAGATGTAAACTTCGGGCTGTCAAACTAATATTTTTGGATGAAATTTCAATGGTTGGCAATACTATGTTTAATGTACAAATAAATAACAGATTAAAAGACATTATGGGCAGTAAAGACCCATTTGGAGGTGTAAGCATCATAGCTCTTGGTGATTTATTTCAGCTAGAGCCTGTTATGGATGCCTATGTGTTTAAAGATCTGAAAAATTCCGAATATGGAGCTCTTGCCCCTAACCTGTGGCATGAACTTTTTACAATGTTTGAATTAGAAGAAATTATGAGACAGAGAGAGAGTAAAGAATTTGCTCAACTTCTTAACAGGTTAAGAGAAGGTAATCATACTCCAGATGACATTGCAAAACTAAAAGAGAGATGCATTTCAGAAACGTGTAGAAATTATCCAATTGATGTTCCCCATTTATTCATACAGAATTCAAAAGTGGATGAGTTTAATAATAGAGTTCACATGGCTGCAACTGGTGATAAGTATACAATTAAAGCCTTAGATAGTGTTGTAGGAGCTAACTCTGCAGAATTTCGAGATAAGATCTTGAAGCAAGTACCACTTGATCCCAGGAAAACTAAACAATTAGCTTTTAACCTTCAACTTGCGGAAGGTGAAAGAACAGAAATTGCAGTGAATTTAAGGACTGATGATGGTATGACAAATGGTGCTGCTAATGTTATAAGGAGGATACAATTACATGATAGAAACAGGCCTTCTGGAATAATATGGGTAGAATTTGACCATGGGCATGTAGGAGAAAAAACTAGACATGATTATAAGCACTTGTTTGTACAAGGTATTAAGCGCACATGGACTCCTATTAAACCTTTTACTGCACAGTTTGCAGTTGGAAGAAACAGAGCAGCTCAGGTTGTGAGGAAGCAGTTTCCACTGAGACCTGCAGCTGCTAAAACCATTCACAGATCACAAGGTGACACTGAAACAAGGATAGTGGTTAACTTTAACACCAAGAGAGCTATACCTCACATACATTATGTAGGACTGAGTAGGGTAACCCACATTGAGGGATTGTATATAACTGACCTTTGCGAAAGCAAAATAGCTGTAAATCCAGATGTAAAAACAGAAATGCAACATTTACGAACAGAAGGTTACCTCAACCCATCTATTATCCCTATATATCAAACAGTTCGAACTGCTTTTAAATTATGCTTTCTAAATGTACGGTCACTGCATAGGCACATTGAAGACATACGCAAAGACTTGAACTATTCAAGCATTGATCTAATCATTTTCTCAGAAACAAGACTGTGTCACTTAGACAGCAATAGTAACTACATCATTAGTGGTTGTACATTATTTAGAAATGACAATCAGTCTACAGGACTAAATGCGAGACCTTATGGTGGAACAGCAGTGTATAGTAGAATTTCATCCATTCCTGGATACCCAGTTTCTAAGAATGCTAATGGTGTTGAAATAACTATTGTTAAACTTGCAGCAATTCCACATATTACCATAATAGGTGTATATCGTTCACCAAGAGTGGCAATTCGGCAAATGTGTACAGCAATGATGCAACTTCTTGTCCTTCATAGTTCAGAATTCAATATTTTTATTGGAGATTTTAATGTAAACTGGTTGAATGAGAAAGAAAGAACTCCCCTTTATAATATGTTTGTTAGAGATAACAGTTATAGGCAATTAGTATTATGTTATACCACTGACAACAGAACTACAATAGACCATATTTATACTAACTTACCAGAGTCACACGTAAATTTACACATTTTAGAAACATATTTTTCAGATCATAAAGCAATCTGTGCACTGATTAGAACATGAAGTACCTTTTATGCCTTTTTTCTTCATATCATTTTATTAAATTTCAACAAAATCTTAACAGTTATTTTACCATATCTCCAAACTGGAAATGGCAGAATATAACCTGAAACAGAATTTTATGAAAATATTTCTTCAATGCAAAAGCAATTTGTCCAATAACTCATACTGTTCTAGGAAACGCTGTTTTTTAGATACTGATTTCAACATTATCGTCAACTATAGCCAGTAATTTTGTGTCAAAAGAAAGACATTATACTGTCTCTAGATTCAGGCTCCTTTTCTTTCCTTTATAATGAATAAGTAAACAAATAAAAAATTATAATTCACCTAGGTAAGGTTTTTTTTTGGCATTTTGTTGTTATAGTTAAATTTGTAGTAGTAGTCGTAGTCGTCGTCGTCCTCTTTTGATGCAGTGCTCCCTATGTTATTAGAAATTTTGAAATACATTATATTGCTATGAAACAAACTCAAAAGGTTCTTTTTCACTTGCAGGCAATGGAAGAACAAAAAGAAGAGATTGTTGGTTTCTTACACAATGTGTCTCCAACTAAAAAAAGTAGCAAGACATCTTACTTTGACATGTCCATACAAACCACCGATGGCTTAGTAAGAGGAGTCTGCTTCTCTAGAAGTAAACAGGAACACTTTGATCAAATGAGCAGAAAGAAATCTCCAATAAAACTTCAAAATTTTAGAATTGAAAGAGCAGGAGATGCAACCACAGTACTGATGAATAACAATGTACTGTTAGAGCCTACAAAAGAAATACCTTTTTCAAGAATTGAGTTGCCAAGTGCCAACAATATCCAATCAATTTCAGCTGCAAACACAAATCAAAGTATCACCATCAAAGCCAAACTTATTCAGATGTCATCAACAAAAAAAGTGAAGACAGAGGATGGATGATTCAACAATGTTATGTACAACTACTGGTACAAATTAAAGAATCGAAGATCACAGTGACCCTGTACAACGACATCCTGCATGATATGCTAGCGTCACAAGGAAAGAGCACTCTTCCGATCACTGAAGAAACCATAACTGCCTTTCTTCTAGAGTTACCAACTATAACCAGCATAACATTCAACAACAAAACAAAAATAGTGGAGTCAGTGCAAATCTGAATAAAATGAACAATTTCCTGTCACACATCAGTGGAAATTACTACTGAATACCAAACATTAATAATACCTGTTTTGTTACAGTTTGCAACAAACATTTTGTAGACACTGGTTTTAAGTGAAATGATTGTTTCTCTGACTGATAAACATTATTTAAAAGTACACGTGCTGCTTTTTTTGGGATAATATTTCTGTTGCGTTACATTTCTGATACATTTCATTTCAATTAAAAGACAAACACTTCAAAATACTTTTAAAAGTATATTCACCTATTAGTTACTTGAACACAACAATGTAAATATACTAACTTTGTTTTACCTGTTTTGTTCCAAATTGCTTGCATATTACCATTAAATGAAAAACAATGATTTCCTAGGAATTATTACAACCAGATACTTTTTCTTGCTTTGCAAAACTGCTACTGAGTTTGCATTACAGTTGTCTTGAGTTACAAAGACTTCAGATACTATTCAATTTTGTTAAAAACTATTGGCTGTTGTATTTCAATTCTTTGATTTAAATATTCTGCTACAAAATAAAAGAAACGTTCACTTTAATGTTAGATTCTTTGCAGTACCATCACACAATAAAAGTGATTTAAACAGTGATGAAGATGTAATCACGATCATGATATTGATGATTGATATTGATGATCCCTTACCTCCAACTGGAGCATTGGACATTCACCACTTCAGTTCCCCATCTTTGTGATGCCTTGAGCATTCCATAGCACTGCCTTTCGGGAGATGTTTCTAGCCAGTTTAACAGTATTAAAAAAAATAGGCGCCTACAGCAGATTCCATTCCACTGCAGCAGACACAAGTACCCATTGGGTACCTATTTTTCTTTTGGACGAAGAGCTTTGCAACATTCAACTTTGTGCTCTCCATATGGAGATGCGCAACACCGAACAGTTGTTGGCATCCATTGGTCTTCTTGCATACAGGGTAGATTCCCTAGCAGAGGCCAATGCTGCCTTGAAAAACTATGGCCCAGAGTCATTTCATGGCGATCGCATCTCAGTAAAGAAGAAGTCAGATCAACAGTCTGCTATTACAAAGCAGAATATCCATGTCAGTTCAATGTCTGGTAAGACATTTCCTAAAATAATGTTTTCAAGAGATGTTTTCCATAGGTCTTAGGTAAAATCTTTTTTTTTTCTTTTTTAATTTACTCTCATGCTGTTGTGTTTCAGGTCCAACAGATCGGGAAATCCTTCAACACCTTGAAGAAATTGTAGAACTTGCCCTACCACTGGATAAATTCAAGAAGCCGTATGAAGATGTGAACACGGCAAAAAATTTGATCCTTTACAGAGTTACATTTTACCAGGCTCGTGTTGATGTTAGTAAGAAGCAACTATTATTTTTATACTTGCAACTTGATTTAACATCATGTAGTCAAGATCATTGGTAATGTGTATTCATTGAGTTCATACAGCGTCCAGACGATCCGTCGGAGTGCGCTTTAGGAATCAAATACCTCTGTGAGTATTTCTTTAATTGCTACAGTCTCCTATGTAATTTGCCCATCTTATGACTAATTCCATCACACAGCAGCTTGAAATTAATGGAGCTCCATTAACTGAAAGCTACTGCATGTAGGAATATAGGTGAGCTCAGGATTGAAGTGTGAACCATTGTTTAATTTTAGCATGTCTGATTCTGTTTTTTAACACACCTTAAAGTGTAGAGTAACACAGAATTTTCTATAGTTAGAGATCCATAGGTGCAGTGTAACCCAGTGTTTAATTTAGTTCAAGGTAACTAGCATAGGCTGCACTTTAGGTGGTACACCCATGGGTGCAGTGTAACCCAGTGTTTAATTTAGTTAAAGGTAACTAACATAGGCTGCACGTTAGGTGGCACACCCATAGGTGCAGTGTAACCCAGTGTTTTCTTTAGTAAACAGTAACTAACATAGGCTGCACTTTAGGTGGCACACCCATGGGTGCAGTGTAACCTAGTGTTTTATTTAGTTAAAGGTAATTAACATAGGCTGCACTTTAGGTGGCACACCCATGGGTGCAGTGTAACCCAGTGTTTTCTTTAGTAAACGGTAACTAACATAGGCTGCACTTTAGGTGGCACACCCATGGGTGCAGTATAACCTAGTGTTTTATTTAGTTAAAGGTAATTAACATAGGCTGCACTTTAGGTGGCACACCCATGGGTGTAGTGTAGCCCAGTGTTGTATTTAGTAAAGGTAACTAACATAGGCTGCATTTTAGGTGGCACACCCATGGGTGCAGTGTAACCCAGTGTTTTATTTAGTTCAAGGTCACTACTGTAGGCTGCACTTTAGGTGGCACACCCATAGGTGCAGTGTAACCCAGTGTTTTCTTTAGTAAACAGTAAACTAACATAGGCTGCACTTTAGGTGGCACACCCATTGGTGCAGTGTAACCTAGTGTTTTATTTAGTTAAAGGTAATTAACATAGGCTGCACTTTAGGTGGCACACCCATGGGTGCAGTGTAAACCAGTGTCTTATTTAGTTAAAGGTAACTAACATAGGCTGCACTTTAGGTGGCACAACCATGGGTGCAGTGTAACCCATTGTTTTCTTTAGTTAAAGGAAACTTACTTTGGCTGCATTTAGGTGGTACACCCATAGGTGCAGTGTAACCCAGTGTTTTCTTTAGTTCAAGGTAACTAACATAGGCTGCATTTTAGGTGGCACACCCATGGGTGCAGTGTAACCCAGTGTTTTATTTAGTTAAAGGTAACTACTGTAGGCTGCACTTTAGGTGGCACACCCATAGGTGCAGTGTAACCCAGTGTTTTCTTTAGTAAACGGTAACTAACATAGGCTGCACTTTAGGTGGCACATCCATGGGTGCAGTGTAACCTAGTGTTTTATTTAGTTAAAGGTAATTAACATAGGCTGCACTTTAGGTGGCACACCCATAGGTGCAGTGTAACCCAGTGTTTTCTTTAGTAAACGGTAACTAACATAGGCTGCACTTTAGGTGGCGCACCCATGGGTGCAGTATAACCTAATGTTTTATTTAGTTAAAGGTAATTAACATAGGCTGCACATTAGGTGGCATACCCATGGGTGCAGTGTAGCCCAGTGTTGTATTTAGTAAAGGTAACTTCCTTTGGCTGCACTTTAGGTGGCACACCCATGGGTGCTGTGTAACCCAGTGTCTTATTTAGTTAAAGGTAATTAACATAGGCTGCACTTTAGGTGGCACATCCATGGGTGTAGTGTAACCTAGTGTTGCTAATGAGTGACTGTAACCCAGTTCAGTTTTTTCTAGAAAGTGCTGTCCTTTAAGTAGCATAAAGACATGCAGACATTCTCTTTAAGACAATGAAATTGGTGTGAGGGAACATTTCTTCAAGTAGTATATGGTAGCACAATGTTATGTAATTAATGCATTTTTCCAAATGTTTAGTACTTTTCAGGAGCTTTAAGCAAGGGCACTTTTGTAAGAGATTTTGGTACACATACTGAGATAATTGATTTGGAAGGCTCAGGTTTGTAGAACAACAGTAGTAATAACACTTTGTTTTTTCTTTGGTTACAAGTTCTGATTTTTTCTCACTGGCTAAAGAAGGTTTACCATACTATAATATGACTTAATTGAGTGTTTTATGCTGAAATATAAAAATTTTGGAAAATGAGTTTGGAAAATATTAAAATAATTAAACTTATTGCTAATGATGAGCTTAGGAGCTGGTACCTTAAAGGTTAGTGTGAACCCACTGACCAGCTTTGCTCCAGTTTAACTTTGCCTAAATGATATTTAGCCACATCAAAAGGAGCTTTTTGTTTTTAATTCCTCAAAAATATTTACCCAAGGAAAACAAAATGTTTACTTGCAACAGTTATTTGAATGATGTGATAACATATAGGGCCTCTCATTACAGTCTTTCTCAGGTCTTATTTCAGGTTTTGGCTATTTTGCAGATATTAAAGCTGACATGGAGCCTCGCCTTGTTCAGTGGCAAGGCAAGTTGGATGAGCTACATGTCTTTTTCAAGAAGTTGTGCAAGTCACGCATAAAGTCACTATTCACTATTCACTATTGTTTTTCTTGCGTTAGATCTGCTTTTTTCGATTCGATTGCACCTTGACTATTTTTGTACCGCTACTCCTCTTGCGTTATATTTATTTAAATGAGCAATTTTTAAAAGACAGAAAATGTCCTTCTTTCAATAACGTGGCGGAATAAAACAATTACACAAAGATGTTACTATGATACCTTTTGGTACGATATATTTTATTTTTGACCAGCACTGTTATGCCTAATTTTGTCCATAAACGGACAAAATTGCTCCGATTTTGAGACGACATTACAGCTTTTTGGCAGCGATCGCCAAGAAACTGAATGTGCCACGGAATTACACCCAATTAAGAAATATATTTTCTCCCTTCCAGCAGTCATTAGAAAGCCGTTTTGTCCCCTCAAAATCGGATGTAGTTCACACGTTAAGGGTAATAAACTGATAAAAAATGATTTACAATTATCCTGTTGTCAATAGGTTCTTATTCACGTAAGCTGGGTCATAAACTATTTCTTGCGGCAGAATCATGGGGAAGAAGTTGTCCTTCATTTTAAAATCGCTGAAATTGTAGTAACTAAACCTTGAATGAAACTATTGTAGGAAGATTCATTACTTGACGAGGGAATTCCGCATTTAATTGCACGCGAAAAGCGATACGCGAAGCGATGAGTGCGATATCGGTTTTTAAGTGCAATTTAACGCGGAATTCACGAGCCAAGTAATGGATTTTCCTTGAATCACATATTTGAATAAAAACAAGATAAAAAGAAAACAGCATTACTTATATTTGTTATGTATACGTGGATGCGAAACAATATCACTTAGCCCCGCTAAACAACTCGCCTCGTCAACCAATCAGAAGGCGAGATTTTATGCAATGATGCGATTCTATCTGATATTAGGTCTGCTGACTTGGAAAATACTACACCTAAAATTTAACATCAGCAATCTTACGAGAGAAAGCATAAAGGCTAGGTCTCTCTGACGGCTTATCTCTGGTTGACATTTTAACCAATTCTCGGACCCTTTCATAAAAACCCAACAAAGACGATATCGCCTTAAGCATTCTTCCCAATGAAAAAATGTCACTGGCAACGCCATAGAGTCGTTCACTAACAACCTCAGGGGCTAAATAACTTTTCCCTTTGCATTTCATAACGGTGCCGTTTCTGCGGTACAACGTAACAGATGAAACCTTAAGGCTCTTTCCAAAGTCAATAAGAACTGGGCTGAATTCCCCAGAGGCTGAGGGCCGTTCTAGTACGGGCGACCCTAAAAGCCGGAACGGCGGAATGGCGGAATGGCGGAAAATGACCCCAAATCCTAAAGCACGGAACGGCGGGAAATGACCCCAAATCCTAAAGCACGGAACGGCGGAAAATGACCCCAAATCCTAAAGCACGGAACGGCGGAAAATGACCCCAAATCCTAAAGCACGGACCGGCGGAAAATGACCCCAAATCCTAAAGCACGGAACGGCGGAAAATGACCCCAAATCCTAAAGCACGGAACGGCGGAAAATGACCCCAAATCCTAAAGCACGGAACGGCGGAAAATGACCCCAAATCCTAAAGCACGCAACGGCGGAAAATGACCCCAAATCCTAAAGCACGGAACGGCGGAAAATGACCCCAAATCCTAAAACACGGAACGGATGCCAGGGCATGTTGCACAAATTTCGTACAAAGACACCAAGCGCTTAGCTCATTTATCCTCACGACGATAACGCGCGTGACTAAAATTAAGTGTCACTAATTTTTTTTCTTTTACTGAGTGGTATAAATAATAATGAACCATTATGCATGAAAGATAGCTGCGTTTTCGCGTTGTAAACCTGTTTAGCTACCTTTTGTTATGCAAAATTTGCCATGAGTTTGTCGCGGCATAAAAAGTCGCACAGCATGTGGAAACCAACTCGACATACCACACTACAATAAACAATTATAACTTTGATACGTTTCCTGGTCACGTCTGCATTGATTTATTGAAACAATAATATCTCATATGCTTGTAAATGTGAGAACATCACAGGAACGTTTTCAGGCTTCTCAAAATATGACAACGTTCAGCCCAAGCTCCAAACTTAGACTAGCGTAAGAAAGTTAGCAGAAGGAAGCCGTCAAGAAGAATTTGAAGAAGGGAGCGAAGTCGAAAAACAAATATTCAAGCATCATTGCACACGGTTCCATGCACACAGCTTGAAACCTAACGATATGTTCACTTTTATTCCCATGGAGTATTTTTGCCTCTTTGAGGAAAAGACGCTTTTCCTTCTCGTCCTCACCTTACAGTTTTTTGATAACGACCTTCTCAGAATTGTTTCTCGCCACAAAAACCAAACCATAGGATCCTCGACCGATAGCCTCTTCTTTGTCTCGCAACTGCTTCCACTCGAATAATGGTAAACCATGACAATCCAAAGATCCGTCTGAATTACACTTCCCTTTCAGAAAGGGCAATTTAAACGCCATAGAGTTGACGATTTGCAATTTGTTGAGGAACAGAAGAAATCCGCTGAACGAATTGGTGAAATAGCCTCTTTTTTGTTTAGAAAGTTTATTTCTTCAGCTGATATGTAAGCCGTAAATTTCACAGTAGGATGGTGGTGTTTTGGACACCAGGTCGCGAAGAAATTCTTCAAATTCTTCTTGACGGCTTCCTTCTTCTAACTTTCTTTTGTCTTTTCACGCCATGAGAAATTCCCACGCGCGTGACACCCTGCAAACCTCTCTTCAACTAGTGTTACTCAAGTCCCAAAACTTATTCGTGGATGAAAAAACGCTCGTATTGAAGGGCTCGTAACGAGGGCTTGCTCTCACGCTAGTCTAAGTTTGGAGCTGGGGCTGAACGTTGTCATATTTTGAGAAGCCTGAAAACGTTCCTGTGATGTTCTCACATTTACAAGCATATGAGACGTTATTGTTTCAATAAATCAATACAGACGTGACCAGGAAACGTATCAAAGTTACAATTGTTTATTGTAATGTGGTATGTCGAGTTTGGTTTCATGGCAAATTTTGCTTAACAAAAGGTAACTAAACAGGTTTACAACGCGAAAACGCAGCTATCTTTCATGCATAATGGTTCATTATTATTTATTCCACTCAGTAAAAGAAAAAAATTAATAACACTTAATTTTAGTCACGCGCGTTATCGTCGTGGGGATAAATGAGCCAAGCGCTTGGTGTCTTTGTACAAAATTTGTGCAACATGCCCTGACATCCGTTCCGTGTTTTAGGATTTGGGGTCATTTTCCGCCGTTCGATGTTTTAGGATCTGAGGTCATTTTTCGCCGTTCCGTGTTTTAGGATTTGGGGTCATTTTCCGCCGTTCCGGGGTCATTTTCCGCCGTTCCGTGTTTTAGGATTTGGGGTCATTTTCCGCCGTTCCGTGTTTTAGGATTTGGGGTCATTTTCCGCCATTCCGCCATTCCACCATTCCACCGTTCCGGCTTTTAGGGTCGCCCTTCTAGTACAACATTTTTTCTTTGATGTCGTTATGAAGGTATCCTTTAGAGTGCACGTGGTCTAAAACACTGCATATCTTTTTAAATATAGAAATACAGTTTGCTTTAGTAACTGCGTTGTTATCGGCCGCTTGATGGAGAGTTACACTTTCATGCTGAACACCATGAAATTGAGTCACAAGGCATAATGGTGAGGCCTTTGTAACAACACCAAAAATCATGGGTAGATGTGGATGGTCCCCCAAAGCAGAAACGACCTTTGCTTCGTGGAGCAAATCTCTCCTTGCTCGTTCTTCATCCTCTGACGTTTCGTTGTGAGTCATTTGCTTGACAATAACGTCGAAGCCTCGATAGCGCCCGAGAAAACACTGTCCAA